TTATCATTATTCTTCCACCTGACCACAGAGTATCGCTGAAGGTCTAAAAAAAGGCAAGCCTGCCCGCAGTGGTCACTCTCGGAGCGGTCACTCCCGCACCCCGTCCAACGCTTCCAGCACATCGCACGAGGTAGCCATGTTGACCGGTGGGGAGGAGTCAGCCCCTGCCCCCACGCCGACTGGCCCATCCACCAACGGTTCGGCGACCAATGACGGAGCTGTTCCCACCACTCCGTCCACCAATGGTGGGGAAGACGAGCTGACAGAGGTTTCTTTAGACCGCAGTGAGTGATGGTGTGGTCGGGTGTTGGGTTTTTGAAAGTGGTCTGGATAAAAATGTGACGTCATTATGGCTTAACCCTTTGAACCCTTGCCACCGGTACACCGGTGGTGCGTAAAAGTGGCCGTACGCCCCACTACTGATACACCGGTGGGGTGTAAAACTGCCCGTACACCTAGCCATTGGCACAGCGCTGAGCAAGACCCCATCCCCTACCGGGTCGTCCTCAGACAAAACACATAGGGAAAACTGTGTTTGCTACACAAGGCGTTATAGATTATTTTGAAGATCTTTCTGAATTAGATGCTGACAAGGACAAGGACTACCATGAGTGGGATATGGAAAATGATTCTGACGATCTTGTGAATGTTGGTGATATACCGTTCAGGAGCTCAGGTAGAGGGGCATGGTAGCCTCAGGAGGTCAGGGCTCAGAGGGTTAAAAGTGGTCTGGGTAAAATGTGTTGTCATTGTGGTGAAATAGGGGGAACGTGATTTTTATGGGATGATCAATAAAGTTTTTTAAGCTACGATGAAAAGCCTTATTTTTCTGTGAAATGTTTTTATGGGATGACTTTACGGCATACATGGAATCTATCAAAGACTTCAACAAAGTTTTATTAGACAGAAAAGTAATGTTTTTTGGATTGTTTTTCAAGCTTGAAAAACTATCCTTAAAAGCATTACTTTTCTGTCTATTGAAACTTTGTTGAAGCCCTTGATATATTCCATGTACGCCTTAAAGCTTATTATGAATTATTGGATGCTTTTCTTGTTTGTCATTCAGTGGGGGGTTGGAGGGTGCTACTGGTAGATCCTTCTTCTTGTCTGTCCCTCCTTTGTTTTTGTCTGTCTGTCTGTTGTTTCTGTCTGTCTGTCTGTTGTTTCTGTCTCTCTGTCTGCCTATCTGTCTTTTCCCCTGCACTAGATGACGGTTATTGTGTTGATGTTTCTCTCTACTCCAACAAACAAATAAGCAAAAGAACAAACAAATGAACGAACAACAAACTAACAAACCAACAATCTTTCCTATTAAAAAATCTATCATCTTTATCTCCCCTCTTTCTTTTTCGTGTATGTTACTCTCTCTTGTAACACCTCTAATCTTCGGCACTGATATGACCGTATTGTGTTGCAAGTGCCGTAAACTCTTACTAAAACTAAACTAACAAAGGAACCAACAAGGGAACTACCAAATGAACAAACAAACAACAAACTAACAAGTGGGTGGTTGGCGAGTGCTCTTTCAGATCAAACATCTTTTTCTGATCTCTCCTCCTTTTTTGTGTTTATTACTCTCTTGTAACACCTTTAATCTTCGGCACTTTTATGACCTTATTGTGTTGCAAGTGCTGCAAAACTCCTACTGAAACTAACCTCCA